CCCCCGCCCCCAACCCTGTAAGCTACTTAATATATACGGAACCGACGTGGCTGCCTTTGTTTCTATTCTGTGTTTGAGAGTCCGTGTGATGGTGCAAGGAAAGCAAAGGTGGAATTCACTATTCCAAGTAGACATTCAGGCATCCATGTTCCTCCTCAGAAAAGCATGTGCACCCTTTGACCTCGGTTTTAAGGGAACATCCTTCTTTGGATGTAGCTGAGCAGGTCCTCCTGGTACAGCATTCGCAGGTCAACTGAACTGACTCTATTCTTGGTTGGTTTTAACACTTGTCTTCACCCAGCTTATTGTATGTGTATGTTTGCTTGCTTGCCTCCTGGTTTCCCAGACTGCGGGATACAGCAGTTCTTACCAGAGAGCAGTGAGGTCCTCTTATCTACACCGGGGTGTGGATGGTTTCATAGTTGAAGTTAAGTTGCATGTAGTCTTGCCTCCTTTTATCTGCAATGTTGAACTAATTTAGGTTTCCACTTTGTGTGATGTTTTAATTCAGGTAAACCCCTTGACCAACCTCACAGCGCATGGTGCATATTCTCTGCCTCTCACAGGTTCTGAGTTCTCAGAGCTGTGAACATAACTCACTTAGTAAAACTGCAAGCTCTGGCATTCAGTTACCTGACTGTGGTTTTGCCTTTGCCAGGTGCCAGCACTGTGATCCTATGCCAGTTATTCTGGACCTGTGCATCAGTCCCTTTGTCCCTGAAGTAGGAAAGATAACAGTGCTACCTCTTAACCCGAAGGAGAGTGAAACTATATCAGCTAATGTATTGCAAATGCTTAGTATAGTTTTCACATATAATTAGCAGTCAGTAAGTGGCGGCTACTGTTAACACTGCTGCCTATGAATAAGTGGATTAGGGTAAGAGTGAGACACATATGGGTGACAGTGCAGGGTTAATTTGTAAACAGGTTAATGCCCACTTTCTCTTTTTTCCCAATGGATAGCTTCCTCATAGAATATACTAAAGCCTTCATAAGAAGTGTATTTACTCACTTCTTATAACACAAGTTAGAGCCATATGGGCCAGGCAACAAAATGCAGTGATTACCCCAATTCTAATGGAGAATATGTATACATTACATACATAGTCACATCTATAAAATTCATTAAAGCTGTGTATTTTCACTGACACTCCTTAACTGGCAAAGTAATGCTGTACCTTCCTACTCGGCATGTTAGGAATTAATCATAGCCTGTGAACCTTTCAAAGGGCCATAGAGCCCAGACCCACTACTAAACAGGGATGTAAGCTGTGTGTCTCCCTCCACGCACAATGAGCAGCCTTAAAGGGAGAAAGAATTTGTTAAAAGAACACCGGGAGAAGTGTATGCCAAGGATACTGGGTCAACCCTTTGCTTTGCTGACACTGAAAGTTAATTGACTGGTGTATATGATTTTAAAAGTTTGATAAAAAGCCAAATCTTTCACACCCAACCTTTTCCAGTCTTTGCCCACCAGCAAGTAGACTAGGGACCTCTAGTGCGTAGACTTGAAACCTGCACAATCGTTTCATTCACTGTGTCCCAGGGTTGGTCTTGCATCTGGATATAGATAGATAGATAGATAGATAGATAGATAGATAGATAGATAGGATAAGATAGATTAGATAGATAGATAGATAGATAGATAGATAGATAGATAGATAGATAGATAGATTTTGAAAGAGAGACAGTTAAAGCCAGGAGTTAGGCACAGCCTGTAAAAGGTATCTGCAATGTGACATTTGAAGTAAACCTCCTGTGATGGTTTGGCTGGGTTAGGACTGTGAGGAAAGAATATCTGCCCTGAGTGGCACCAGCATAGGCTGGGAACTTGAATTTGTTTTTCGTTTGTTTGTTTGTTTGTTTTTTGTTTGTTTGTTTGGTCAACCATGACATAAACTGCTCTGCTCTTCCGCACTTCCCCTGCCTTGCTGGACTAGCACCTCTGAAAGACAGCTAAAATGAATCATTCAGTCCTTTAAATGTTGTTCCTGACTGGCATTTTTGTCACAGCAATGTAACGCTAACTCATACACTCACTTGCCATTACTCAAAGATGCCATGTAGAAGGCACCTCAAAGAAGGTGGTGCTACCCCAGAGCTTTAGTCGATACCTACTATTAGATAAAGAACGATTGCACTGCACTTCTCATCCCCTATAGCAGTGCTTCCTATTGGGAAAAGAAATGGTTTCTTCAGTACAATGGGGATTCTTCATCATGACAATGGTTCTCAGCTGTATGCAGACCCAGGAAGCCCACCCTGCTGACTGTGTACCCTGCACTCAGTTGCACCTCTTTCTCTCCTCTTGTCTGTATTTGCTGTCTCAGTTATGACATCCTGAGCTGGTGATGAAGCCTGAGTAAATGAATAGTATGAGGTGCTTAATCTAGTAGCATGAATTAAGCCTTTTGTTGCCTTCAGAAAGCAAGGCTTGGACCAGAGTACTCCATTCATTTTCTAACATCATTTTGAAAGGTATCTAAATGTAAAGGTCTGCCTGGTTCAGTGGTAGGATATGTGGCAACCATTGATATACCTGCCCCTGCCAAGTGTTCATCATCTACAAGACACTCAGAAGCAGAGCACATATTAAAATCTGGGATTATCTTGACCACTTGTATTTGTGGCATGTGTAGTTTGCAGAATCCATCTGTCACCAGTTCTCTCAGATCCAAAATCCAAAATAAGCTTTAAGCATCATCGCCCTACAACAAATGTGGGAATACTCTCCCTGTGTTCTGCATGGATCCTCTTAAAAGATAAATAATCTAAATGCCAAGGAAAGTATTTTGTGAATAAAACATAATAATAGCTTTTTTAAATGACTAGTACCCACCTGTAAGAAAGTTCTATTCAGTGAAAAGGAACTTTAAAATTTAGTAGATCTAGTTGGTATTGCTTTTTTAACTTTAAGTTAAAACATTCACTTTCAACATAATTTTTCTGGAATTTAATGTGCATCTCAGCAACTGTTAGGTAGATTAAATTTTTAACTATCCTGTATTATTTTTATGATTATCATTCCTAATAGCTTCTAACAACATGCCTGCATTTTCCTGGTAATTTCCTATACTGGCTTCTATAATGGTGTTTTTAATGTTGCAATTATTTTCATTATTATTTTAACCTCATGTTTCCACATTTCCTTTCAACTTCTTCATTATTTAGAATCAAGCTTCTGAGGTATTATCAGAAATTTCACTCTTCAAAGTAAGATATAGGTTATTGTTTTTCTTAGTCTTAAGCTATCACAATGATTCTTTATGACATTTAATATGCTCCTTGTGAAATGAAAATGATAAATCTGGGTATTTTATCCTCAGTACAAATATTCTTATAGCTGATTTTTAGTTTTTCATGAATGCTGTATTAAATATTCCTAATATTTAAAGTGTTGTGCTAATTATGATATATGTGTGTTTTAAATGCATTTTCTAATTTCAGCTCCTCTTCTGGTATCCACCTGACCCAATGACAACCCTACCTTTACTGTAAATCAAGCCATTGCTTTGCATTGCATAATAGACTCTGCTAAATTAACAGGAGTGGCTGGTCAAAACTACTAATCTATATCAAAAAGTAGCTGTGTTCTTTATTTTGGTTGGATTAACTGAAGCAGATCTGAAATAAAAACACATGATATACTCACCAAGTGTAATCAGTGTCACTAATTTTTAGAAGCTGAGAATTCCCTTGAAAATGCTACCCTGCCTGTATTGAAAACTCTAGATTATTAATATCATTATGATTATGTGCAGATCGTCAAATGGGCTATTACAGAAAGGACTCTTGCAGATTACATAATACTTAGAAAGAATGATTAAAAACTCATATCTGTGTCATGATGTAGTAATACATTTTTCTTTTAATGCTTAAGAGATGAATTATGCTTACTAAGTTATGATCTAATGCCATTTCGTCTTTCACCTTAATTTCCCTTGTAATGTATTGTCAATTAGCCATAAACGTTCTTATTTTTAAAGGCAATTCGAAAGTCTCTAATGGAATCCTCTAGCAAAGCAAAAGAATCTTTTTATATACACAGTACAGATGTGTCAAAACCACTTATGGGTTTGTTTACCCACATGACACAGCCAGCAGACCTGAGTGTCTCATGTGAAAGTTACAATTTAAATCATTCTTTTAAGAGTACCGCTGCCACTTGCATGTATCAGTAATGAAAAATAATCAACATAAGCATCTTTGAAAAGCAATTTCAGATCATTAAAGATGTATGAATTTTGACAAAGCAGGAAGATTTGAGGCTTATTAAGAATATATTAGGTCTCTACCATGAGTGAAGGGAGAGGGGCTCTATGTCTCAGAAAGATAAATGGTACAAGGACAGCCAGAGACACAGTCTTGGTCCAGCTGGCCCTGTCAACCTGTTGAGAAAAATAGAGCCTATTTCAAGATGGTTCTTCAGATGAAACAATGGCTTAGACCACTCCTGTCCCCTAATGGACTACATATGTGAAATGCTTGTGCATCTGGCATGGAGCCAGAGGCTACTGGAGACTCCTCTGGGGCTTCATATGCCTTTTCCAAATAGAATGGAAATATTTGCCTGATGGTTCTTCATTTCTTTCATTTCCCTCTTGCTTATTTATTTATTAACTATTAGACTTTGATTGCTATAGACCTCATAGCCATAAATTTCCAAAATCCTTTAGTTGTAAAGACCCAAGTCCACTGACTCTGCTTAGTGGGAGTCTAACAAGAATGGGAGTGCATGTTTCCCAAAGAACCTGCACAGGGAAATGACAGCATCCCCCAGACTGACCTCTAGAGCCTCGTTCCTGGCATCATGACCACAATGACTAAAATTGACCATAGTGCATTTGTAGATGATTCAAAGTGCATCTCTGTCATGTGACGTGAATTCTGTGTCAGCTGCAGCTACTCGATTTGCATGTGAATTCTGAAATTTTCCTTGTCCCATGTGACACTTCTGAAATGTCTGTCTGTTCTTTTTTTCCTTTTTTTAATTTCCCAAGCTCACTATTTGGATAAGATAGTTAAAGGTACTGTATATCTACTCTTTGTTGACATATCTGCATAAATAACTATATAGCTGTGTATCAGATTGCACTAGGTATAACAATAGACTTTTTCATGCATTTGTCTGTAAACTATAACTTGGGCTTACATTATGTGAATTGCCTCAGATTTAAAGTATTGAGACTTAAATTGTCTGTGTCTCATTTTTGTAATTTTGGGGTTCTCACAGATTTCATTCCTATTTAAAACAATAGTTTTCACTAAAACCAAAACTGAAGATCACAGTACATTTGCTGTTTTTTGTTTTATTTTGTTGTGCTTCAAAAATCTTCATCGAATTCAGCTAAAGAGCATTAAATTATAAATTTAAAGAATCATAAATACTCTTATCACAGAATAAGAATTGTCAATCTAAACATCATTCTGGCTAACATATGTTGAGAGAGAAAGATCTCATTGAGCCTCAGATGGAAACTTCTTTGCCTTTTTCTAAACACCTCAGAATATACACATATATGATACAATAATTTATGTTTTATTATTCTTATCAAACTACAAAGTCTCATGCATGCTGTCGCATCAGAGCTGATAACGTTGCTCAGCAAAAAACAGCAGAGTCTCACGTCTTCAGTTACCGTAGACATGGGTCGAACAGTGTTGTACGCAGAGAAAAGCCCTCCCTCTTTCTCCTCCGAATACCTATTTTCTTTTCCTTGTTTGTGCTTTCCATTAGAATATGAAAATATTCATGGCAATATCCAGGCTTTCCTATCATAATTCCGTGTGCAAGCAGCAACTGCTGCTCATTGGCAATGGGGCAATTAAACACTTCTATTTCAAGAAAAACCACAAACAAACACGTCTATAAGGAACACCTACCTTTTACATATTGAATAATCCATAGGCACATAAAGTAACTGAAAACAAAATAAGCAGCAATATTAATCTCATCCTGGCCTGATGTTATCCATAAGTATAATTTTTGTTAGGCTGTCAAAACAGTCTCCTTCCTGTTGACTGTAATTGTAAGAGCTTAGGAAACAGAATGTCTCTTTGAGATATTTCCTTCTCAAGTTCCTCGCTGGAGACCAACACATGAACCATCATCTAAATACAGACTTAAACATCTTACACAGATTGCTCCCTTAAATCTTATATCCAATACAGGTGGGGCGTTTTCATGATAAGGAGCTATGCAACACCCACCAATTGCTGGAGCAATTTTACTACATGTATTTTACAGCAAATGATTAATAGTTAGCCAAAGAGACTCACTCACTAGCCAAGGTCGTTGCAGGAGTTTAAAACGCTTAACCCTTGCTTCTGTCAGGGCCATGTCACACTCATAATCAGGGACTTCAGAATTCACCTGAGTGTCATCCTTCATAAGCAGATCATGTTGGCTGCATGCCAGTTGTCATCAGTAGGGAGTGACAAAAAGAAATTGGTTTGGGGGGAGAAAAAATTATGTTAGACTGAAACAATTATCGATTTTGGATATATTAAATTAATTATTTCCCAAATTTTCCCTTCTTGCCCATAAAAGCAGACAAGATAGGATATAAAGGTAACAGCATAAAAGCCTTAGGGAGATTGTCACAAAATATCACTCTTTGCTATCTGTCTTGAAGCACGTCACTACCGTGTTTTTGTTTAGTCTATCAATGTTTTATTGTGGTCCTTATGGTATTTCATTTTGTCCGTCCTAAGTAATCAAATATGCACAGCTCCTACATTTAGTTGGATACCCTGTCGGTCCTGTCCCATCCGTATGCAGCCTGAATCCTAATGTTTGTTAGAATAGATGCTAAAGCTGCTTTCCTGGGCTTTGCTTATTCTGTGAAAAGGAATGTATTCTTGGCATAAAGTATCGTCATTAATACTGACCTATACTTTGTGCAATTATTTAATACACTGTAATTTCACATGAATATTCGGCAACTCTGAGGCCAGATAAAATTAATGCTCTCTTTTTAACATCATTCATAAACTCATATCCACGCTCATGCTCTTGAATTTAGGGGATTTTTTTTTAAAGCAACAAGGTGCTTAAGAAGTCATGTCCTAAGAAGCTTCTAGCAATGTTTGTAACCGATTAAAAATTGGAGTAGGGGGATCTGAAATTATTATCCTGAGGTGCTTTTCCAAACCATACACTATACCTTGTTGCTTTGTGAAAGGGGAAAAAATGTCAAGTTAATTTTGTCTGGCCTGAAGCTATTTAGTGGGTCATTGCATATATTTCTGTCCTACACAGGTAAGTGGTGTCTCAAGGGTCAGGCCAATCAAAGATGCCACTTGGATAAGAATTAGATTCCTTGGATAATGTTGCTGTTTCTATCCATGTGCAATTACAGTCCCTGTGCTGTTTATAAAGGCCTGTTCCTACTAAGTGTCCCGTATCTGTTTCTTTTAGGTACAAAGGCTTTCAATACTCAAATCACCGTTTCTTCTACTTCCTTGTCTTGACAGAGGGTTGCCCCGGTTTGTGTAACAGCAATGGAAGGTGTACACTGGACCAAAACGGCTGGCATTGTGTTTGTCAGCCAGGATGGAGAGGAGCAGGCTGTGATGTAGCCATGGAGACCCTGTGCACAGACAGCAAGGACAATGAAGGAGGTAAGGAAGCTTGGACCTGAAAACAAGTGTGTGCCAGAGCCTGGGCTCATAAGTTAATGTGACTACATAGTTATCTGTTAAAAAGAAAAAAGACCAAACAGATCCCTCAAGATTAGATTGATTGAAAATGTGTGAGAGCTGATGGATTGATGGCATTCCCTCATTTTCCCTGAAATGAGTGGCTGCCTGATGATTTTCGTTCATGGAAAAGGCATGGTAACAGAGCTACGGTATAATGGCCATTGTGTTCTCCATTCCTTTTTCTCATTCCCGGGTGACTATCCTCCTCAACAATGGTATTCAGGATGCTGTGCATTGGGAGTGAGTGCCACAGCAGTATTTTCATAACTAAACAAGCCAGAAGATGCCAGGCATTTTTCAAGCTCTTCTGTTGAAAGCCATGGGTAGGAAAAAGGGGGGGGGGTTAACAGCAACAGAGAACAGTCCCCTTGGAGCTGAATTCCACTGTCTTTTTATCCTTAACTTTACACCCCTATAAAAAGGATCGAGATATTCTACCCAATTTAAGCCTTCGGCTAGGAATAATTACTCTCCCCTTTGAGTACATCCCCCATGCTATTGTATTTTAATTTCACAGAATAGAGAGTGGGAGTTGGTGATGGAATCCTTGCCCCTGACAGCTGCTTAATTTTGACAAACCATTAGGAGTGGATTTGGTGGCGGGTGTAGTTGCTATCCTCAGTGTTCTGTGCCTGCTCTTCTGCAAGGTCGTCTCCCTGGACAGTAGTGTTGGCCAGACAGAGAAGCTTTTAGACGCAGGCACTGTCATGTCCTCACATCATACATGCATGGCCTTCAACCAGATCTGTAACTCTTCACATCTCAATCACTTCACCCACAAAACAGGAATAAAAGAGGTTTTAAGAGAAAAAAAATTGTATCTAGATTGTTCAGCATGTTGCAGCCACTGTTGCCTGGGTTTTCCTTCTTTTGCTTCCTGAGTGTTTCTCTCGACTAGTCATAGAAGGTTGTCAAAGAGCAGGTGGGGTGGACCAAACTTCTCCAGTGACCTGAGCCAGCATCCCTCTGCTCTGCAGCCATGTGTCTGGTCTTCCTGACAAGGAGCCGAAGGGCCTCCCTTTTAATATTCTCACAGACTGTTTCACATCTTCCCTGTGTGGTCTTCCTTTTCCTATCCAGAGGAGCCTGTAACCCTACATAACTCAACTTCTTTACTGCCATACCCCCCCAGCCCCCACCCCTAATGAATTCCAGCAGTCTCTAACCCTCACAGCTCTCCTAGCTGATAATACCTTGTTGTCCAAACCCCTTAACATCACGTGCTTGCAGAAATGGCAGCATTAATCCTCTCTGAGACATAGTCCAGATGGCAACCTAACTCCTTGCTTTCCCCCAAAGAGTACCAACCACATTGTCTCTGGTGCCAGGGGAGGAGAGAGTGACTCTTTCTCCTTGATTGTGTATTCCAGGTTTTTGTCTTCTGAAAAGAGATTACTTTGAGGAGGTCCTCCTGGCTCTCAGAGGGATGCAGACTGCAGGGCCAAGTCTGTAGAGACAAGGCAGAGTAATTTAGGGGCTAATCAACTCTTTGGTATTATTATCAGTCAAGGAGGTTTTTCCTTTTCCTCAAAAATTTATCTACTGTGAATTGGCCTCATTCCCCCTTTGTTTATCCTTATTAGCATGAAACTCTGCTATCACTAGGCTTCTCTCTCTGAGGGAAAATTTAAGCTGAAAGCACACCTCCTGTGAATTCTCTACTTATCTCTCATAATTCTCATGGCTGTCCCTAACCTAATTTTGTTGTTCTTCAAAGAAGGACTCTCAGGGCTGGCTTCATCATGTCTTGAGGTGGTAGCCCAAGCTAGAGGGTTCTTGGATATGGGCACAGGCTATATACGTTAGAGGCAGTGTCTTCCACACCAAGAACCAAATCGGGAGATATGAAGTATCCGTTCAGGGCAGTGTGGCAGAAGGACAGTGGAACAGAAAGGTTAAAAATAGAGCAACACCAGGAATTCCAGGCCATGTTGTGAGTGGAATATGGCAGAGCCATTATCTAAGCTAAGTTTGTGTCAGAATGTTGGATTAGCCAGCGAGCCACTAAGTTACTTGATTCAGCACATTAAGTAACTAAACAGAAAAAGCAGGTGAAGAAGTTGATTTGGCTCTAGTTGGGATTTAAGAATGTGTGTGTGTGTGTGTGTGTGTGTGTGTGTGTGTGCTCTTGCCTAGTTCAAACACAGTTTTTGTAAAAGAAATGGAAAATGGCTTACATTCCTCAGAAGTGAAAATGTTAAAGTATGGTCCAAGTATGTGATAGACTTATATAGAAATGTCCTTATGAAACCCAGCACAGTGTGCAATGAATATACACTGACAAAAAAAAATCAATAAATAACTGTTTAGAATTTTAAAAAAGTAGACATAGGGAAATAGCTAAATTTCTTCCCCAGCCAGAGTTTGTCTTCTGCTCCAAACTATTTCCCTTTTCCCAACATGGCCAGCTCTATCATGACTGATTATAAAGAGCCTTGAAATCCTAATCTCATCAAGAGATGTCTTCCTGGGTCCTTCCTTTCCTGTTGTCTTTTAGACACAGTGACTCTCAGATGTTCAAGCAATGGACAAGAGCTTCAGAAAGAGCTGGACGAATAGATGGAACCATGCATCCTTAGTCACTTCTTTTTTTTTTTTTTTTTTTTTTTTTTTTTGCTTTGTTTTGTTGTTGTTGTATTTTGTTTTTTGAGACAGGGTTTCTCCATGACTTTGGAGCCTGTCCTGGAACTAGCTCTTGTAGACCTCAAACTTACAGAGATCTGCCTGCCTCTGCTTCCCAAGTGCTGGGATTAAAGGCATGCTCCACCACCACCCAGCCTTAGTCACTCTTAACACCTATGAATTCATAAGAAGTAGCCGAGTCTTTTTAAGGTTCAAACAACAGCTGCCATGTGACTGGGTAGCTTTGGACTTTTGGAGCTAAGGGCAGTCTTTTCCTCATGCTAAGGTCACTGATGAAGATCGATGTCAGTGCCCTTCTTACAGCCAACTCCAGTTTCAGAGAGAGGCCACTGAAGCAAGTTTTAAAATGCAAGCTAAGTATATAAAATGGTAGGTAATAGCATTGGAAAGAGAGGTGGAAAAAGGTTAAAAGCAAACAGAAACATTAGAGATCGTTAAGGACTTCCTCCCAGGGACTCCTAATATTATCAGAACATAGAATGGCATTCCAAATCTCTAGACATTGCACATCCTGGTAGAATATTGACTTGGGAGAAATGATAATTGGTTTGGAAGACAATTGGTTCCTACTTTAGATTAGAGATTTGGTTACCACGAACCCCTTTGCTATCCACAAGGATGTACTGATTAATTTGATTGCTAGTATACTGTTAGTAATTGGGGATTTTGTTGTTGTTAGTTTCTTCCTGGTACATAATAAATGTGTGGTGAGTGTGTGTGTGTGTGTGTGTGTGTGTGTGTGTGTGTGTGTGTGTAAATCTTGTGTGGTAAATTTATAGGCGTGTGTGTGAATAAACATTTTTCTGTAGATTTTTAGAAGGGAAATTGTGGAATAAAGGCATTTTAGGTTTTCATTTTTATAGCTCCTGCCCTGTTGCCTTGTAAATAGGTTTCAACCACTACACATTTTATTGGAGTGAGATTGTTATTTGTCCATGGTCACACTCTATACATAATCATTGTACATAAATAAAATTGTTCAACAAAATGAAAAACAGCCTTTTTCTGATGAATGGTAATGTCCCCATTTTATCGTTTTAGTTTGTATCTCTAATTCCTACTTAGACTAGTAATCTTCTTTTCCCTGTTGTGCTATAGTTGAAACTCAGGGCCTTCTGCACATTGGACCCTCTGCTACTGACATGCATGCCCAGCCAAGATTCATGGTGCTCTTTAGACTTTTTTCTCAGCCTTTCGTGTTTTTATTTCTTGTATCTTGATATTTGTTTTGGTAATTGCTTACTTATTTCTCTTACTTTATTTTTTTCCTATTGAGTTGCTTAGCCTATTCTCCTTGAATTCCTAGAACCTCTTGTTCCAGTTCACTTACGTTGGGTGCGTCATACATATTTTACCCAGGATTTTTACTTCTCTTTTGACTCTGCAATCTGTGGTGTCTTTTGGCATACACACTTTTTTTTTTCAATTCATACAAAGTAAATGTTTTGTGACATTCACCTCTTTGTTCATAAACTCTAGCTGTGGTTCCTGAACAAGAGTCTTATAAGATTAAATAGATTTATATATGTGCCATCGTTTCTTTTGATACTTCTAATAATTCTGTGGCTTTCTTAATACCCAACTAATGAATAACACCTTTAAGCAACTATTGCAATGAAAAGCATACAAGAGCTCAAGGGGTGGGAAAAAATGATAAAGGATCATTTGAATTTGTTTAGATACAGTTCTTGCCTGCAAAGCCAAGGACCTGAGTTTGGTCTCTAGAGCACATGTTTTTTTTAAAAAAAAAAAAAAAAAAAAAAAAAAAAAAAAAAAAAAAAACTAAGTCAAGTGTGGTAGTGTATGCATGTAATGGGAATTGGGGAGGCAGAAACAGTTAGTCCCTTAGGCCCATTGGCCAGACACCCTAATCTACTCAGTGAGCCAATGAGCAATATCTTATCACACACACACACACCTGCAGAGAAACCAGGATGTTTGAGAGGGATTATCTCAGTTCATTAGGGTGATGGTTAAGGTGAAGAAAAGAAAGGACTCAAGTCTGAATAGATACAGAGAAAAAGGGAGAAGTAATGAATGGACTCCAGGCTTCTACTTTGGATACAGAGACGTAAGTTGTGGTTGGAGAGATGGCCCAGTAGTTAGAACATCATGCTCTGTCAGAGGAGAGCTTACTTCCAAGAACCCACATTGGGTAGCTCACAACCATCTTGAACTCTAGCTCTAGAGTATCCAATGCACTATTCTAGCCACAGTGGGCATCTACAAGCATGTACATGTATGCACACACACACACACACACACACACATGAATA